CCAACGACAGCCTTGTAAAGGTATTCCACCTTGTCTTCCTCGGAACGGTGAGTCCGTGGTCCTTGAGGAGCAAAACGTGTGATGATCTCACGTAACTCTTCCAAAGCTTCTGCGGTGTTGAGCTTCTTGGCATGCATCACAGATTGAATTCTCAGGCTCTGGAGGTACTTCCTGATTCTGTTCTGCCGAGTTATGCTGTTGTATTCGTCTTGCATTACTTGGCATGCCTGACCAAAATTTCCACACTTGTCCCTCACCTTCTTTCGATAGAATCTCTTAGCTTCTCCATCGAATATGTTGTGGGAAAAGGCAAGTTTGTCGGTTTGGTCAAGATTGTAGTCCTGGGCGGTATCAATGTAGTTATTGATGTGTTCCGTGAGGTCCTCACCCAGTTTTCCGGTGAATTTATCCTGGTTCTTGAATCGCAATGCCATGTTGTGAGCGGCTCTTGCTTCGGAGTCACGTCTCACAGGGGGATAACCTTGTACTGGTGGGCCGGCTTGACGTTCAATTTCCTTGTTAGTAGGCATACATGCTCGGCTACTTTTCTTGTGTTGAACAAGCCTTTCGTAAGCAAAATCGATGTCGTCCGAGTCTGAGTATAACATTTTTACTAATCTCCATGAGATGCGGTCAGTTGCGGGATGTCTGATATACTCTACACCTTCTGCACGTAAGAAGTCACGGATGATTCTGAAAACGAACGTGGTGCCCTTCAGTACTTCGAAGGAATATAGAGTTTCAACAGGGAAGTCTTCACGTAATCTTTCTACTAGTTCTGCGTCCAAAATATTATCAGATCTTGCGCGAGTAATGTGTAACGTAATAATTGATATAATATCATTGTGAACTGGAGGTGGTGATGTATACGACGTGTGCAATTTTCACACCTAGTGCATTGTGTGACCCGTATCCGATTTTGTGCGCGAAGAACACGTTCCAAACGTGTTCAATTTCCAGACGTGTTAGAGTCCACAAGTGTGGGAAGTGGGTGTGGAGATTGTAGTGTACCACGTAGCGGGGGCAATTGCAGTAGGATGCAACAAATTGTAAATCGACTTTTCAAAAAACAGCAAAAAATGTTTTCGGAAAAGTTTTGTAAACTTGTGTTTCAATTTTCGAGGAGGGTTTTGAAAAATGAACCGAAATTTTTTTGTTACTAAAAAATCTAATTACTGCGCGTTACTTTACTCTCGTGCAAATATAAGACGCGACGGCGGTGGTTGGCACCGATGAGGTGGGACGCCAAGTCGTGCGCGGAGGGGAAAAACCTCTCGCAGATAGCGCAGTAGTGGTCCTCGCTCTCGCGTTTATAGAAAGCTTCGCGTGCGAGGTGCATCTTGCCACCCTGGTGCTGACGTAGCTGATGGGTACCGGTAACGGTGACCTGGCATACGCGGCACGTGAGCGAGCGTGCAGGGGGGTTCTTTTTCTGGATGCGCGTCGTAGCCACGCAGTACAGCGTTCGATTGACGCCCTCAGGTGGCGTAGATAATGGTACGTTCACTACAGTAGAACGAGACTTAATTTGATTAAAAATACGGACAGCGTGGTCCACGTGTAAATTTTGTCCCGCCCCTAGTGCGTCAATTCCGCTTCCTCTCCAAAAACCTTGTCCTCCGGCCTCGGTTGGTCCGCCGGGGTAGCTTCTTCTTCGACGAGGTCCAGTACGGAGACGGAGTTCTCCTCATCGCTTTCCCAATTTACCTCAGGCGTGTGGGGTAGAGACCGTGCGCCGAGGGTGGGATCTTCTGGGTCTTCTGCAAGGGCCGTCAGTGCCCCGAGTTTACTGATTGTTTCTGAATTTAATACCACTAGAATAGAAATTAGTTCGGCAACTAGATTCCTATCTTAGAGGTAGCGAAAAAATAAAGAGCTTACTCTTGTATTTTTCAGTGAGAGTTATCCTTAAAAGGATGATGGCTATACCTCTTAATTGATAAAACGTACTGCGTTAATATCAAAGAAGAGGTAGGGAGACCACTCTCGTAGCGATTCCAAAACGTTGACCAATTCCAAGACTGGACCAGGACAAGTTGCTGAAGTTGTTAAAACCTTTGTACGGTTTTGCCGATAGTGGTGATTACTGGGGCCGTACCATCAGCAGTCATATAAAAGAGGACTTGAACAAGACCGGAACACCTGGTGATGGAGCATTTTTCTTTAAATGCATACGGGACAAGCTTGATAGCATGTGAATTACCTATGTGGACGATGCCCTCCAAGCAGGTACCAAGGAGTATTCAGATTTCGCCCACAAGACAGAAGAGAAGTTCATGTGTAAGGGAAGAGCTTACGATAAGTTCAGTTTCGTCGGAGTACAAGTTGAAACAAAGGATTCTGAATACATGATCCACCAAACGTCGTACATCCGAAAGATAGAGAGGCCGCCGAACACGGCCACGTACAAGTCATATCGATCATTAAGAGCCAAATTAGCCTGGGTTATGTACACTAGACCAGATATTGGTTTCTCTATTGCTCAAGCCGCCCAGGTTTCCAAGTCACAGTATGCTACGGATCCAAAAATTCAAATCCGATACATTAACCGCACCATTAGACGACTCAAGAAAGATCCATAACTACCATTGAGATATCCCAAACTTGACGATAACCAGTTACACATAAGAGTTTATTCAGATGCTTCGTATGCAAACAACTCTGAGGGCTCTTTTCAGAATGGATACATAATATTTCTATGTGATAGCAGCAACCTTTGCCAACCACTCTATTGGTCGTCTCATAAGGCTAAACGAGTGTCAAGATCAGTTTTATGCAGCAAAACCATGGCCTTTGCTGACTCCTTTGATATGGCCTTCATGCTCAGACATGACATGCAGAAGATGATGAACATAAAGGTACCGATCCTAATGTTTACGGATAGTCACTATTGGATGTTATCACAAAGGAATCTGCAAAGGTTGAAAAAAGACTAATGATTGACCTCGAGGTAGTCAAAAAGGCGTACCAACAAAATGAAATGAAACAGATCGGATTCATTCGATCTGAACACAATCCAGCTGACTGCTTGACAAAGGCTAATGGCAACGATCCACTAATCAACACCTTAAAAAGCGCACGAATCATGCACCCCGTGGATCAATGGATTGACAGAAGCCACAATGAGGATACGTCACGTCAGAAGTAGAGGGAATGTGGGAAATTATGGTATGACAGTGACGCATACACGACGAATAAAAGGCACCTCAACGCAATTAATGTAGTGCACAACAACGGGAGCATTTTAATAATATCAGCTGCCAACATGCAGTGCATCCTCTCCTAAAGATGCTTCGATAGTGCAAAACATTACGTGAGGAGAGGACAAAGCACCTGGCTGAAGTAGTATAAATAAGGGAAGAGTCGAGGCAGACTAGCTGCCAAGACAAGCGAAAAACAAAAATGAAGCCACGACAATAAAAAGCGCGATTCCCCTCATTCGCCCGGTCCTGCCGGGTAACCTTTATTGTTCCCCCTTTTCTTTTATTTTTTGCGACCACAACGCCCCTCAATTGAGGTGCTTAGCTCACTAGACACTAGTCCTATCTGAGCCTCATGAAAATAATTAGCACGGCCCCCACTATTTCCGTCCCCGCACTACAGTGCTGGCAATAATCTTAGGGCCACCCCTTTATTGGCTCTTCTTATGAGCCCCACTTATGGAAGTATAAAAAAGTTTGTCTTCATTTTGCGCGTATCGGCCCGACTAAAGCCATAGTTTCAATGGTTTTATAAAAAAAACATGACGCATGACTGTTTGACATGTGAACAATTTTTGTGATGTCCTCTTTAACTGGACAACAAGTGGCTGCCACACTTAACATGCAGTCATCCAGTGAAGACTGAAACTTCTCAATATACGAAACTAGACTTGGTACAGCAATTTACATCGATTGGTTGCAGTTATTAACAAATTATTGAAGACGTAACATCGCTTTAACTGCAACTTTGCGCATCGCAGACACAGCTTCCATTTCTCGATGGACTGGCAATGATTTTTATCACCAGAGGCCGGGTCACTCTTCGCCGTCATGCGATGTTGAATTGAAAAATTTTGTATGGTGAGCTTCAGTCGCAATAATGCTACATTGTTGCCGCTGCAAGCAACCCTGCTGCACTGTTGCCGCTTGCAGGACCAGTATGTATGGTTCAAGAAGGGCATTTGTGCTGCGTCCTCATTGCATAGGTGGACTTTTTCTAACGAGGAAAAAAGCACTGTGCGATTGGTTTCGTTGCCGAATCGAGAGGGGCAACTTTCCTCGGAAATAGGATCGTGATCGGCCGACACACTCCGACGAACAGTTTTTATCATAACTATGTGCAAAAGCAACAATTTTCTTCCATAACTTTGAAATTAAAATTAAAATTTAATTTCTAAACAGGGAAGAATATTGTTGCTTTTGCACATAGTCTGGGTCGTCTCAGGGTCTGACGAGCCTCACGACCCTGAGTTTAGAACGAGCCTCACGACCCTGAGGGTCGTTCTAAACAGGGAAGAAAATGAGGGTCACAGGATTTCCATGTTTAGAACGACCCTGATTTCCAATGCAAGGCTTGCACAGCCGGGGTTTCACAGTTCAGAAATCTGGCACGGACGTCTCTCCGCGGCCCTCTGTCGCCCAGTCTGAGCTCAAAAGATTCTTTTGACATGCTGGAATCAGAACTTCGATAGTGCATTACTGTCCTGCTCATATTTCGCCATCCACATTTGAATCTGCTCGAAGCAGAGAGTGGACACCGCACAGCGCAATGATGTACCATTAACGTTGGAACGAGAAATCCTCTCGATCTCGACCCTGCGCAGCGATTGTATCTCCCTGAATGGCCTTTTTATCCGTTTTGGGATGGTGGAAGGTAGAGAAGGAGAGCGAAATCTAGTATCCAGCCTTCACTCACATGGTGAGATCTCTGGAGCTAAATGTAATAAATGTAGATGCTTACTTCCTCTTCTTCGCTTACTTCGCACCAAAAAAGCCAGGAGAATGACAGCCCTCCCCAACATGGGGCTCACCTACGTTCTTTTGTCTGTTCTTGTCTTACAAGCAACCCACGCACTTGCCAAAGAGGGATGCGAGACCGCTATAGTTGGAGCCGGAATTGGTGGCGCTTATTCTGCCTTCCGTTTGGCAAGCCCATCAGTCTGTATCTTTGAAGCCAACCGTCGCCCAGGAGGGCGCATCTTGACCGTTCGGGATCCAAGCGCCTCGTTTCTGAACTTCACTATTGACCTTGGTGCGTATCGCTACCATCGTGCACACCATCGTCTTGTCCGCCTCGTTGCTGAAGACCTACTCAACCTTCCTGTGGCTTGCTATACGGACTTGCTCAACAACCGAAAAGATTGTCCGGACGCGACGATTCGTCTCTTTTCAACTCGAGGGAACGTGCTTGGAGCTCTTGGAGGCCGGATTGCTCAAGACTTAATAAAGAAGTACGGACCGTTCCTGCCATATGTGATTCAGAGGAGCTTTCGGTGGGGACAAGGAAAGCCCTTGAAGGAAAGACGGACAATGTCTGGGTTGCTAATCGGGCCAAACTCAGTAATCAAAGAGATCCGAGATCGCGTTGAGGAGCTTGAGAAAGAGGAAGACTATGCGAAAGCGATGCAGATTGCGGACGAAATCATTGCGGCAATGCAAGATGGCTCGTACAGAGGCATCCCGTATTCAGAGATCAGTTTGATGCAAGTCGCGATCCGTGAAGGCTTTACGACAGAGGAGATGCAACTGGAAACGGACTTCTCATTTCTCAGCAGTGTGGAAAGGCGGCAGACGCTAGAATACAACGGGCAGCTTTCAATCAGGCAAATGGCACTAGAAAAGGGACTTATAGGGCTTAACAATCTAGTGACGCCGATGGAGAAGCGGCGTGGAGTGCTACGTAGAGCGGGCATGATCACGCTCGTGGACGGCCTGCTTGAGCGGGCGATGAAGGGCGGTGTGCAGGTACAATATGGGAAGAAGGTCGTGAGAATTACGCGCACCGGAAATGAGAAGAGGCCTATAAGACTCAAGTTCGAGGACGGCGGGATGGTAGAAGTGAAGAACGTGATTCTCAACATTGGCAAGCCGGGGCTGATTGCTCTTGGGCTGGACTCGGAGCCGATGATGAGCACCAAGGAGCCTTTCCGGCGAGCGGTCGAGCGAAACTTTGTGCTGAGCTTATCCAAGACGTATTGTTTCTGGGAAGACGCGTGGTGGTTGACAAAGTTGGGGCAACGGGATGGGCGTATTCAGGTTCCTTCAGATTCGATGCAGTCAATGCGATACCACGATGGACACGTCGTGTGCAAGGACGAGAGAAGGCTTAAAAGTTGCCGTGGCGGATTGCTCGCGTCGTACTCGGGGGGCGATCAGATGGGGCTTGGGGCTGCTTTGCATGCGCACGTGCATAATGCTAAACCGTACACACCGCTGACAAGCAGTGACAACGTAGTGAAATTGATTCCAGGGAAGATGTCTGGAGTAGAGCAAGTATACTTTGATGACCTGCACGCACAAATCAAGCGTGTGCACAAGAGGTCGGTGGAGCGGAAGGGGCTTGACGTGGACAAGGTGATTTCCAAGCCGGCTATGTGCCTATTTGCGGATTGGCGGGAGGTGGGTACTCATGCGGCCATGGGGCCGGGAAAAGGAAGAACGAATGTGTACGAGTTGTACGCTAAACCGGTTAGTGATTTGAGAATCGCACTGGTAAACGAAGCGTGGAGTGGGGACCAAGGGTGGGCGGAGGGGAGCTTGAGAAGCGCAGAGCGGGCGCTGTTCCACCAATTCGGAATGGAGAAGCCAGAGTGGATGGATAAGGAGTATCACCGGTCGGTGATTGAGAGGTACAACCAGGGGTGATTTCGGCGCGGGCATACAGTATGCGTGTCGTTCGTGAAGTTGTAGCAAAGGGCTAATCCTTCCACCTGTCGTCTCGGCGCAAAGAATAAAAGCTCGAAGATTAGTGGTGACGTTAGAAGTAGGCATACAGAACCAATCAAAAGTGTTCCGACGTACGAAGCGAGTTATGGCGGTACTGTAATGAACCGACACGTGTTCGTTCCACTTGTCTACACGTCTCACACGTTTGGACCTCAAAAATTTCGAATTTCACCTGTGTCACTGGGCCAGTCTTGTGGAATCTCACCTATGAAAAGCAGTCTTTGTTTACCACCCACTGGGCGCCCACTCCTCCCTCCCGCCACGGCGCGTTCCTCGCCCCTCGAAATTCTTGCGCAATTCAATCAATAAATAAACACTCATCTCCGTAAACCCTTCACACCCCGCCCCTCCCCTGTCCATTACCACGCCACCTTTCTCTCCGTCCTCCCTATCCCATCTTAGATCTCTCCCTTCCCCCGCCACCCCCTACTCCCCGCCTCATCAACCCAACCGGCGCACACGGAACTTAACCAACACGCCCTCTCGCCCTTCAGGGTCACCCCAACATGCATTTCAACGCTTTCCTCCCCCCACTCACCTCCCGTCTCCCTCTGTCCTCCCACCCCCCTGCAACCTGCCAATCACCCTTTCGGCCCATGCCCCGCTCCCTCCGTCGCTCCACTCGTCCCGTCCCTACTCGCGTCCAGACCCCCGCAGCCACCCTTGACCAGACACCCTCCCGGTCCCCCTCTGTCACAATTACCCCCACCCGCCGCCACCAACTCGCAAACTTTATCCGTGCGGGCCCCGTCTTCCAGAAAGCTGGCCTTTTACTTCGCGAAGAGCCTGGATGCACCACAGAACTCAATGGCACCTGCCTCGATGACTGGATCGAGCTAGGCGCTATCCTCGAAGATGCTCTTGGAGATCAGTCCAACGATACCCGCGTTTACGAATACTATCTCCCGGTTTATTTTTGGATCCTTCGCGAACTGGACATCCATCAGGATAACGTCCACGCACGAGGGCAAAAACAGCGCCCTTTCATTCTTGGCTTTTGCTGCCCGCAGGGAGGTGGCAAGACCACCATGACCACTTTCATAGAGACGTTGCTCAATCAGATGGGGCGCACCGTCCAGGTCGCCAGTCTCGATGATTTCTATGTCACGAATGCTGAGCAACGCGCAATTGCCTCAAAGCATCCGTCCAATCGCCTCTTACAGTACCGTGGCATGCCGGGCACACACGACCTCGAGTTGCTCAACTCGTGTCTCGACGCGCTGCGAAAGGGCCGCCAGGTCTCCATCCCACGCTACGACAAGACCGCCTTTGACGGTCGTGGTGATCGCGCCCCGAAAGAGAACTGGAAGCAGGTTGGCGGAGGCGGCGTCGACGTCGTCTTGCTAGAGGGCTGGTGCTTGGGCTTCGAGCCCATCCCCATCGATGGCCTTATGGATGAGGATTTAGAGGTCGTCAATGATGCGCTGTGTGACTTTATTAAGATGTACACCAGGATTGACGGCATGTTTGTCATCGAGATTGCCAACATGGAGTGGGTTTACGATTGGAGGCTCCAAGCAGAGAGGGCCACGATGGCGGCGGGGCGACCGGGCTTATCGGATGAGCAGGTCATTGACTTTGTCGGCAGGTTCATGCCGGCGTACAAACAGTATAGCAAGCCGCTATATGAGAGAGAAACCCCGTTGTTTCCAAAGCACGAACTCCATATTCAGATCGATGAGAACCGGAAACCTATCCATCCATCGGTTTAAGCTGATCCTGGCGGTGGTCTAGCACTTGATGTATGTTGCAATCCGATGATCTCTATGATGGCTAGAGAGCCCTCGCGAGGTGAAGCCAAAAACGATGAAGGAAACGACCTGGGTGGGAAAATTCATGGGTTAGGTTAATCAGGATCAGGATATTAATATGGGCCTGCACGCAGCCCTCCTCACGGCTCTGTTCATAACAACGTCAAAAAGTATTTCATTCAAAGTCTGTCCCAGAAAAAAGAAAATGCAGCCGCGACCTTCTCCTCGGACTAGATGAAACTAGTTGCAGCCCTCTCGTCATCGCATAGTGCTATCGTGGATATAACGGAAGAGGCTTGCATATGACCCATACCGCACAAGCGCGAAAAATTACGCCATCCTTTTCCCATCCACAGTGCGCACAACGAATTGCCGTTGAGCATAGAAAGCTCGCGGAAATACCGGCAACCTCTACCCAACGTTCATGCAATAACCTCGATCACCTCTTCCTAAACGCTGCCTGAATCCATCGCCGGCGCATAACCATATCCTCCTTCCGATTCCGCACCTCTCGATCCACATACTCACACCTCTCACACGCCAACCCAACCCCTTCCAACAACAACCTCAGCTCCTCCGCCTCAAAAAAGTACGCATACGTTCCATCCCCTCTTAAGAATAGTCTCGCCGCCCCTTGCCCTCCTTCAACCTCTTGCCCTCGCTCCCGAAACTTCACCTCGCGCATGTCTCCCACTCCGTAATCCCTCACGAACAACACACCTCCAGGCCTGAGCAAGCCCGCAAGCCCACGCGCCCCGGCTTGTTGCTGCTGCCCTGGCGGCAAAGCGGACAAAGTCCACAACGCTGTCACGAAATCTGCCCCTCGCGGCACCTCCTGCCGTATCATGTTTACATATGTTTCCGGTAGGGATAAGTCCGCCTGAAATGCTTTCACACGATCACTCCGGTATTCCTCATTCTTCTTGACCAACTCGACGGCCTTCTCGCTATAGTCAAATGCATATGCGAATAGCCTGTCATTCGCCCTGAGCACGGGGAACACGCCATTCCCAACCCCACAGCCAGCTTCCACCAGCGTCTGCACGCATCTCGGATCTCGCAGCAAATGAGGTGTATCCGAAAGGGGTAGGCGAGGGACATGCTCGCGTGGATTGATTCGGGCGTGCTCAGACATCATCTCGGGGAACTCGGCGCGGAGCACGTGGCGGTCCTTGAACAGGGAAGGCTTTGTTCGGTAAAACTCGTCCCAACGTAATGCAGCCTCCGCCGATGTCGCAGGTGGGGTTGACAGCTGTTGCCGAAGCTTTTCTTGTGCTTGCCGACGGGCTACCGTCGCTGCTGCCCGTGCTCGCTTTCGGTCGCCGCGCATCTCGCCATTCTCTTTTGCCTTTGATGTTTGCTCGGCCTGCATGTTTGCCTTATTTTCTAAATGGGCAGGTAGCCAAAGGCATGCGTGGTAGAGCGGTACCCTTCCATGGGTCGTTGAGCAGGTTCCCGAGAGTGACGACAACGCTCGCTACTGTCCAGCGGTCCAGCGATGACAGTCCTAGGAGGTCTGCGATGGAATATTTTCTATAAAAAAGGAGCACAAAACCCTTCCACAAGGAATAGTCAGCTCCAGTCCCAGTAGGCCAGGGTCCTCTCAAATTCACTTCGTCCCCTTGCACCTCAAGATAGTTTCACCTTCATGAGTGCTGTAACTGGACCTGCGCCCTCTATGTGGGAGCGCGTGCGATCGTATGTGTACGACAAGGCCATCGTTTCCCTTACCACGAAGTGGTATCTGAAGGTGCTCCAAGAAATTCCGGAGGGCAGCCATATCCTTGACGTTGGTATCGGCACCGGCGCAGCACTTATCGCAAACGCGTCAACCTTGCGCGCAAAAAACATTTCCGTCGCTGGCGTCGACTATGACCAAGCCTATGTCATCACGTGTCAGCGCCTCATCTCGGAGGCCAAGCTTGAAAAGCATGTCACTGTCGTCCATGACAGTATATACGACTTCACGCCACGAGATAACCGCCTTTTTAATCATGTCTATTTCAGTGGGAGCTTCATGATTTTGCCAAACCCTGTGGCCGCCTTGCAGAAAGTTATCGAACTGCTCGTCGACCGTGAAGACGGTCGCATTATCTTCACCCAAACTTTTGAGCTCAAGAAGAATTCGTTCTTAGAATGGTTTAAGCCAAAACTCAGTAACCTAACTACCATAGATTTCGGAAATGTGAGTTATGAAGGCGATTTTGAGGACGCAGTGCATGAGGCTGCACTTGTCATCGAGACAAGCGAAGTCATAGATGATGGCAACAAGGTCGATGGTGTAAGAGAATCACGCTTCATATGTGCTCGAAGTATGCTGTACGTCCCGCGGGGCATTGAAACCGTCTTATAGGACACCCTCCTCTCGTCTGCCGACGAGAGATCGGCATGACATTGCGCCCAGGGAACTCTCTGTCCTGAATGAAGCGTTACTTGTTGCATTGAGAGGATAATTGTATTTTATGTTATGAGCCTGTACAATGAATCAGCGTGCAAAGGCACGTACAGCACATCACAGTGAATGTACCCAGACTATCAAAACTATGCTCGAGGTCTCGCTACTGCTACGCAAAGCTAGCACTTCCTGGCATTTGAACACCGTTCAGATGGTTAAATCTGGTAGATGTTCGGTGACGTCGTCCATTGAATGCAGCAGATGGTTCCCCTAGGAAACACAATCCTCATTCACATTGCGTACTACGGACTATAGCCAGGCGGTCTCTGCCGGAGAGATGTCTTCATCTGGGCTTGCCAACCGTGGCTGGGTATTCACAATGCGCGCTGTTTCGGGAAAGGCTGCACGGCCACGCTGAAGAGTTACACCAACGACACATGACAGCAATTTCTTCCTATTGCTGTTTTACTTCTTTGGCTTCAGTGCCCGCTTGAGCAAGCGTTGTGACAGCAACTGGTTTGGCTCGCAATAAGTCCTGGTATTCGATGGGATCTTTCAGAACACGGAGTGCCTCTGCGAGCTGATCATCGTTTCTCAATTCCGCGATTATTCTTTCCGAATCTGGTTGAAAGCGGTATCGAATGGCTGAGTCAATCTGAACACGAATCTCTTTCTCATGTCGAATAAAATCCGACTTCATGTCCATTTGAGTCGCTCGCTTCAGGTCTCCAACTTTGCTTCGCGCTGTTTCATAGCCAACGTCTGAGTACATGTTGTCAAGTTCTGAGAAAGCTTCGTCGAACTTTGATTCGTACTTGAACTCGCTGGTGCTGACAAACTTCACAAAATCACGATAGATGCTGTCTGTGACTTCGAAGCTTCCCGGAAGGGAAGGTAGCTTCAATTCAGCACCATATTTGTTCGCAAAGCGGAAATACATGTTTTGTCGGTGCAAAGCAAGTTCCAGAAAGGTAGGCCGACTTTGAACCTCAACGTCAGGCTCGATTCCTCCTCCATCACGTACGCTTCGCCCTTGCCGAGTCTTAAACTCCTGTCTTTGATTTTCTTGCACTTCGGTGATCTCGACTGGCCCATCACCATTTGACTGTTCGTAGTTCAGAGCCTGGATGCATCGCCCACTCGGCGTGTAGTACTTTCCGACAGTGTACTTCAGGGCCGTTTTAAATGGCAGCTCCTGGACATTTTGGACAAGGCCCTTGCCAAATGTCTTAGAACCGACTACTACACCAGTATCGAGATCTTGAACCGCACCGGCAACAATTTCAGAAGCGGATGCCGTTTGGCCGTTAACTAGAACTGCTAGCGGCACGTCGGGAGGTAAGAGAGGATCCTTCGCAGATACAAATGTCGGCCCACTTCCCAGTCCACGGCCCTTTGTCGACACGATTGTCGCGCCCTTCGGGACAAAAATTTCCGAAACATCAATGGCCGCATTCAAGAGCCCCCCTGGATTTCCACGCAAATCTAAAACGAGTCCGCGCAGTCCACTGCCCGGCATGTTGCTGTCCGCAGATCCCATGAGCTTCTCTACGGCTTCCTGTACTTCTGCCCCCGCGTCCTTTGCAAACGACTGCAACCGAATATAGCCAATCCTATCCTTGGGGTTACCTACAAAGGTTGAAACTGGCACATCTTTGATGTGGACGTTTTTCCTGGCCAGTGTGAATGTCAATGGTTGAGATGAACCCTCACGCTTCACAGTTAGATCTACGGCGGTTCCCGGCTCACCTCGAAGCATGTCAGTCACCCTTTCTAGTGAGTTGCCGTCCACGGGATTTCCGGCAACGGCCTCAATGACGTCCCCAGGCCGAATACCAGCGTCAAAAGCGTATCCCTCAAATGCCGAGACCACAATTATGGGTCGGTTCTTTTCACCGGACTCTGCATCTCCCAGAGAAATTCCAAGGCCAACCCCTGCGTACCTCCCGTTTGTCTTGACAGACATTTCCACGGCTTGAGCATTGTTCTCAAACTGTGTGTATGGGTCCAGAGTTCCGAGCATGGAATTGACGCCTGTCTCAAAGAGTTTGTTAATATCGACCTTGTCAACGTATGACGAATTGATGTCTTGAAGAATAAGGTCGAAAAGAGCGACCTTTTCTCTCAAGAGGGAATCACGTGGCCCGTAGCCAGCTAAAGAGAAAAGGACGACCGCACTAATCGCTACTCCTGTGACCAAACCCCATACGAACCCTCCAGGCGCTAGAGCCCTTTTAAACGCAGTCCAGGCCCAGACGAAGAAGCCCGCAATGCCCACGGCACTTTTTTCTGTTTCCTCCGTGTTAACCTTTTGATCCTTCGGTGAGTCGTTGGGCTTCTGTCCTCCTTCCTCAACATTCATGACTGTGTTTTTGGTATCGACTACATCAGTGGACTGGATTGTCTCCCCAATTCCGTTTTCGGCAGGGCTTGCCTCCGTATTGCCGTTTGTGGGAGGTGCCTTTGAGAGGTCTTCTCCAGCACTTTGAGCTGAGAGATTCTGTGATTCGATGACGTCATCCCCATTTCTAGGAATGCAGGCACGTGGTACCATTCGCGGGAGCGCATATCGATGGGAAAAAGAGGATGAACGAGGCCTCTTGGCCGAGGTTGCAGACACAAAAGCACCGTACGTTCTTAATTCTATGCGTGATCCAAAGCCAGAGACAACAAAACTTGACTGAAATGCCAGCGCAGAAGGCAGACGGTCTCTTGAATTGGACCCTGCATTCATTTTTGCTTCAGGCATTTGCTTACGGCGAGGCTCGTCAAAGATAAAAAGGAGGGACTTTGGGATTGCAAGAGCAATGGGCTTGGAGGCAGAACGACGAGGCACATGCCTCGTTAAGAAGTGTGTTGGAGAAAGGCGTTGTGTTGGTTAAACATGACACGAATCAGGCCTAGTGGGGATGGCTCTATAGGGGGGTCCCACTAGCCAATCATCCGGTTGACGGCCGTCATCTCGGGCTTGAATCAATTGTGGGCTGGCAAAATTTAATATATATTTTACCTCAAATTCGACGGACCACGGTCATCCACACGCACCGCCCGCCATAACCACATTGTAGCCCCATCCGCCGCCACCGGTGCGGGTGTGTCTGGTATTGGTCGGGCCGTCGCATCTCCCATGTTTACCCCGTCTGTTGAAGTGCAGAGGGTCCGTCCACCTGCCCATCGGCCGTCAGAGTCGGGGGGCAGTGCAGGGGATGGAGCATGTAACAAAGGATGTGATACACGATACATTGACACCCTTGATGTTGCGAAACCGCGACATGCAGCTGCCGACTGATGTTCTCTAATTTAAAAGCCACCTTAACCACCCTTCGCTCTTACTCAAGCTTAAGCTCAAATTATTTGGCATCAACCACGTCGTTGATGACGGGAGTTGGGTATCCCTCAAACGTCCGTGCATCAAGGGCGACCATCCCAGCACCCCGAAGAGCCTCCAAACCCTTTTCACCGTCTTCCAGACCCACGCACTTAGTCGGGTCCACTCCCAATTTGTGCGCAGCAAGCAGAAAAGTCTCTGGGTCGGGCTTCCCGTTTTTCACGTCCTCGCACGTGACAACCGCATCAAATACATCCACCCCAACCCCACTAGCTTCCAGACTCGCCAACACGTCCTTTCGTTCTCCCCCGCTAGCAACTGCGATGGGTATGCCTTTAGCCCGAGCGTGACGAAGGAGAGTTACCACGGGCTCAATAGGGCGAATTGTGTGCATAACTGCATGAAGCGCTTCTTTCTTCGCTTCCATAAGTGCTTTAACGTTAACCTCAGGTTTGCCTTGGTCCTTTTTTAGCTTCTCTATGATGACAGACGCTGGCTGGCCTGCCCAGGCGTAGAATAGAGGGCCTGGGAACAGCAGTCCAAATTGAGCCATCGCTACTTGGTAGGCCTTCAAGTGCAAGGGCATGCTGTCCACAATCGTGCCATCGTTGTCGAATATCACAGCAGCAGCGCCCTCTATCATAGCGTTAAGGTGATCGGGGTCGGTTGATGGAGTCGGTTGTGATGATGACAGAGGCATGCTTGATGGTTGCGTTTCAGTTAAGGCGGCTCGGTACAGTCGGGAACTGAGAGAAGTGCAGCTCACTTAGAGGTGATTCGTCTGAGTTAGAGACAATGTCCTACTCTCTGTGGCATGGATTAAGGTAGCTCGGACCCTGAAAGCATTGCTGATATGGTCGTTTTGGAGTCTGAACATAACTCTGTAGTTACTGAACAACATTCTACAGATTGGTTGCGAAGCGATTGCAGTTCAGCTGGTATCAAAACGCACGCTTGTTGGTCTTGCGTGATTCCACTTGGCGCCTATCAATTTGATGTTCTCAGAATGTAAAAAGCCTCTGGAGAATGGATACAAAGAGGGTTTGTGAGCGTAACATGCATGCGGCAGTTTCTGCAGCTCCCACACTGTGCATCAACCGATCTCGACAACTGGTCTTAAAGTGACAACTAGCCCTGGAAAAGTCACCTGATTAAATTCTTTACGCTTTGATATGAGCCTCATGTCACGCAAGAATTCCGGCGAACGAAAGCAAATGTGCCGAGGCGGTATGGCACACGGGAGTACATTTCCCATCGGGTAACCAATAATGCTCATGAGCTAGTGTCTAGACGACAAGCAATTTGACCTCATATGAGGCCAGCTTTTTTTTGCAAAAATATATAAATTAAATCGAAACTTTAAAAAGTCAGTTTGGGCACCATTTCTTTAACGTATACGCCCTCGGCAATAACATCTTGCAAAACATTGGGATGGCGGTTGTCAATGCACAGAGAGACTAAGAATCTAATGAAGTTTCAATGATGAGTTGACTTTTTAAACAGGCGTTTTGGTTTCAAAGATATCAACATAAAACGTTTTGAGGTTGGTCAAAAAGGCTCCTTTTTTGGGCATTTTAAAAATGACTGGAAAAGACGTGCAGATCTCACCAAACTCCACCCTTCCGCAACGCAGAAGTCAACTGCGGTGTCGAGAGTATCTTTTTCCATCTTGTTGAGCTAGCGCAAGTCGAGAAAAAATAAGTTGAAAAGTGACCTCATATGAGGTCATTTGTCACCTAGACACTAGACTCGCCGGCATTGGGTGTACGGAAACCTATTTTGATGTTACCTGGTGATGCGGTGCCCGGGAAGATCACTGCTGTGGAGATATTGCATGAACAGTTTGCTTCAAATGCTGTTTTAACGTCGCCACCGGAAAAGCAGGTCAGGCGCTCCCAACGACAAGGTGTTAGTTATCTCTTCGAAGCTGCCGCAGAAAAAAAGGCTGATGGGCAAATGAAGATTTAAAAGAGAAGCACTAAAATTTTAATCTAGAACAACATGAACTCTACTACTGAGCAGGACTAATTTGTTTAGGGATTTAAGAGCAACTCTATGGCCAATCTATTCTCCAATCTAACGTAGTTTTTCTGGATAGAGTCAAATTTGCTTCTCTGCCGCGCACAATTTAATCTATCCGGAAATCTAACCAATAGATGAGAACTCGCTCAGGGTCTAACCGACCCCCTGATAGAGCCTTTACGAGTTCTAATCTATCCGATAGAACTCCCACGAAACGTGATATCATTGGGCATCACGATACCAACACCCTGCTTTTTCCCAGTATGTCTACAACGTCCATCCCAATGCTCTAGACAGCAAAACAATCTCTCCATAATCCATTCTCGGCATCCCTCTCACCACCCTTGTGGTATAACTACCTTCGTCCCGACCACTCGGAAACGAGGGGGGTTAGAGGTAAGGGAGCGCGCGCCGCTGGGTAACCCACGCGCAAACGCAGACCGTACGGATGGACTCGAAAAGAGGGAAGGCTCACGTGGCCAGTGACGCGCAGCCGGTCGGTGGTGTTAGATCCGGACGGCCGGTCACAGGTTAGGAGCCTGAGACTAAAACGGAAACCGGAACGGGATAGCAATTAGCCGTAAACGGAAGGGAGGCGAGTCTGCCTCCCGTTTACTGGAACGGGGCAGGTTCCCCCGGTCTTAACCCCCAAGTGGGACGCCAGGACACCTGTCCCGCTACAGTAACTGTTACTTACTATATCAGCTACTGTGCTAAATTGGCTAATTTGTGCCATTAACTACTAATTACTAGTTAGCCACCGTACGGATTATACACGTGTGCCCGTGGCCACGATCCCCGCTAACGTTTGTGCCACTTGTTACCCGTGGCCACGCCCGCTGTTACCGGCTGTCCCACGTCGGACCCTTGGGGTACTACTGTGCACGGCGGCGGGCGCGTGTACGCCTGCTCGCTACAGTAGCACCCGCCCTCCCGCGCGGTTATCATCTCGCCGGGGGGTTGTGGTACGGAATTGTACTGCAGACCCCCTTCCTTACTTCGCGACACGTCCCCGTCGCGGCCGATGTCTGCAATGACCGGCTTGCAGGGGGCGCCCACCGTACGGAAAAGCCCGCGCCGACCGCGGGAACGCGGTCGGACTGCGATCGACTCCATAGGGGAGCCTATGGAGTTTTTGGTATTTAACTGTGGCGGTTCCTCTGGTGCGGTGGCGGGTCTCCTCACGCTTCCCTTGTCCCCCACTACGAACCCCCCAACTCACCCCACAGCACACCCCACGACTCACTCCACAACCACCACTATCCACGCCCTTCCTCGCGCTTCTTCCCTTCTCTTTCCTCCTACCAACCGTATGGCGGATCACCGCACGGAACGGGGACAGCCCCCACGCGAGCGGCCACCCTCGGCGGCACCCGCGCCGGCGCTTTCGTTTCATCCGGCGCGGTCTTCGCCCGCCGGGGACCAGCCCGCTACGGGTCCCTCTGACCGTCCGGCGCGGCTCGCGTGTATTGGCGGCCTCCCGTCTCGGGGCCCTTCTCCCGACGAGCGCGGGCCCTTGCCGCGCCCCCTAAGATCAGCCCCGGCTCCCCAGGTCGGAGAGTTGACCGTACTGAGGCAGTCGCCCGACTGGGTCGCAGCTGCGGGACGCCCCGCAACCGAAGGGGGAACTCAGCCGGGGCGGCCTGATCCGTACGCGGTGACGCCCCCGGCGGCGGCGACGCCGCCGACAGGCTGGCTCCGCGCCGGGGTGCGTTCCGTCCGGTCCCTGTTGCCATGGAGCGATTTGGACCACCGGGCGTCACGGGGTGGTCGGAACCCCTCTGTAGTATAATCACCCCCAACGACGAGGGGGGTGAGTACTGACAGTTCGGAAGGACCCCGATCGGCGGTAAGATAGAAGCACGGCCCACCCACGGTACCGAGCACGGGCTCGAGGTAGCGGTGGTAGAGCGGGATCGGGGAGGACACGCGCACGCGCGAATGGTTCTACGCCTCGACGCCCCGGAGCGGTACTGGGTGACGATGCAGTACCGACGGGCGGAGGCGGAGCCGGCTCGTGGGCGTGCTGTGCGCGTCCTCAACCCGCGCGCGGTGCTACTCCTAGGTAAAACGGACGGAAATACCTGAGAGTAAGCGGGCGGACCGAGGTGGAGGATCCTTGACAAGTCCGTGCTTGTCGTCCTCCACCGCCGGCGGTCCGCTCATATTTAATGTACATTGTAGTCTATCATAACTCTACAGTAGTGCCGGTCTACGGACACTGTAACGCTGTCAGCCAGCGGGGATGACAGTCCACGTGTAGTACGCGTCCCGTAGACGCGGAGGACACGTGTGTGCGCGCATGGCTGTAAGGCTCGTTGCCTTACTGTCCCTGATCCGATCCTAATCTAATTTCCGTTTGGGGTTATACCACATCACCCCCCCCCTCAAGAGTGAACGTCCGCGTTCACTCCTGAGGCTTGTAGAACCTGTCCGTCACCTCCTCGCAGCCGAGTTACAGCCATCCTTACCGCCCCCGTGATCTCCTGTCCGTCCGTGCTGGGTGCCTTCTGCTTTCCATTTTCAGTGAGCTGCGGTCGTAGCTCTTTCCGCAGCACTTCAACTTTCACGGCCCATCCCCCTTGCGTCAGCGTATTGCTCGCCCTGCCTTCCCGGTCCTTTGTTGTCACGACTCCTGTTCGCGTCCCTTTTCTCGTCGCCCTCGCGATCCCGTCCTTCCCGTCCCACACGTCTACCCCAAGCACCGGGCTCTCGACCGTGTTGCTCTTGCGCGTTGGCGAGATTCAGGTCCTCGCACCTTCCCTGTGCTTCATCGCACGCCCTTCATCAGCGTGTAGGGATGTGCATCGGTAGGGAGCGGACTGGCGTAGTCGCCTCTCTTATCCTTAGCCCATCCCTGGCCTTCGGAGGCGAGGGCACAGCACGCCACGAGGATCCTTATGTTAGTCAGCCCTTGCCAGCGATGGCGAGGGCGCAGCGCGCGACGACGCGCGACGGGAATCCTTATGTTAGTCAGCCCTCGCCAGCGATGGCGAGGGCGCGGCGCGCGACGACGCGCGACGGGAATCCTTATGTTAGTCAGCCCTCGCCAGCGATGGCGAGGGCGCGGCGCGCGACGACGTGCGACGGGAATCCTTATGGTAGTCAGCCCTCGCCAGCGATGGCGAGGGCGCGGCGCGCGCCTCCGCGCTGCGGTGCGGAGGCGCACCGGGAGCGCCGCGGCCTCGCGTTGCTCTGCCCGTGGCGCTCCCTGCGGACTTTTTCCGGCACTCCTTGCGCTCCGGCTTCTTGCCCGCGCGCTGCCCATCTGCGAGAGGGCAGCAATTGTTGGTCCGCCTCATACGCCACCCGTGCGCGTGCGGCGACTCCGTGTGTCGGACGTGCGGGCCGGTCTGACGGCGTATTGAGTATGATACGGCGCAGGGGCAGGCGGAGTGCATACGTAGTGCTCGTTGGTGCCCGCTGTACACGCGGGCGCTGATGGACTGTATGCCCTTACTGTATGCCACGATACGTGGCAGCGGTCGGCGCGCCGTATGCGTGCTGGAAGACACGCGGTAGCTTCTGTGCACTTGGTACGTGTTGTCCAGGGTGGCGTCTGAGATGACTCAAATAGTCCGTGACCAGTCCGCCACCTCCCTCTTGGTCCCCAAGCCAGCCCCGCCCGTAGCGTGTGCAGCCATTCCCCACCGCTCAGTGCCTCATTCCACTCTTGAGAGCTTCCGCTGACCATCTCCGGCATGGCAGACTCGACCTCTACCCCGCGGCCGACGGCCGTGGTCCCATCTTCGAGTGAGGGTGGCCTCCCGGACGCGTCGTCCTGTCCGCGTGAGGCGACCGTCGACTTGACGAGGGCGGCCCCGCCGCTACCGCCGGCGTTCCAAAAGTGTCGCTCTCGTTCGACTACCGTGTCTGTAG